TATTCTTTGAGATGTTTCATTCTTTTTGCCTAGGGGGTGGGCGGGTGGGTGGGGTGTAGGGGGCTGCGCAGGGGCTGCGCGGGGGCTGCCGGGGAGTCCTACGTGAAAGCCGAGCGCACTTTAGCCTCCGCAACATACCTTATTGACATGAATTAAATAGGTTTAAAGTTTGGTGAGATCTATCAGATAGAAATTGTATTCTTCCAGCTTATGTTGATAGAGATACACAAATTTATAACCAATAGTAAATTCCACTTTCGTGAATACTGCAAAATATGTTACAACTTAGTATAAAGTTGTATAAGCAGAAAAGTATGAATACTATATCAAAGTTATGCCGAACTTATATGGCGAACATATTCATACAGAACTAGTATGACTTACGGTTATTATTCTGCACTAATGGTTCTAGGACTAATTTCTATTCTGCTATGGTACGATGGTGCTGAATAGTATTTTATACCACACAGCCGCATGGCATATTACATACATACAATTATGTTTTATTGTGTTCGATAGTATTATGTTACGTTATAGGTTCTATTATGGTATGATACATTCTATTCTGTCATATTGCATTTATATTCGCATAAGATAGAATAGTACAGTTTCTATATGATAGATTTCATCAAACCTATTTGAATTCATGCCAATACGGTATGCTGCAGAGAGGCTAAAGCGCGTTTCTTCTTTTCACCTGTATATAGCTTCGAAGCCAACTTGTACGTAAAGACTTGGGCCTCCAACGCAACCCAACCCAACTCAACCACCCTCCCACCCCAACCCACCCATCCACCCACCCAGACAAAAGAAATAAGGCGAAAACAAAGGAGTCAAAAACAAATCTTCATCCTTTGTCTTCTCGCTGAGTCCCTGTCTCGAAACGAGCAAAAGTGCCGGCTCAGTGGGTTCTGCTTTTAATTCGTGCCTGTAAGCCAAGGACTGGGAGATGGACATGTCCTTTCCTGCGGAGTCAGCTCTGCAGAAGAGCCTGGAAAATCTGGCCGCAACCCAGCTTCAAAGACATCAGGGCACCTGCCATTTCTGTGCATGTGCTCCGAAGATCATCTCAGGCCAGCATGTTCGACAGCAGCCTGAACAAAATTACGTTTTGCATACGCTTCCCTGTGGAGTTTCCTCTGAGCCCACCGGAAGTGTGGCTGCGGCGGCCACGGATGAGATATCGATCTGGTCAATCAGGACCAGCAGCTGCTCCATTGAAGATCAGACAGGTAGGAAAAGTTGGTTCCGGGCTCACAATCGAAGGACCGGTGACCTTTGGTGGCCGTGTCTGCAGTCCCTAGGCCGAACCAGCAAAGGTTGCTAACTGGACTGGCTTGCATCTGTGCTTGTGTAGAACACTTCCGTCCTCGAGCACCTGAGACGAGGCATGCTGTTGGCATCTGCTGGCTGGCAGCCGGCTACCTCCATGCTTGCCGTGCTGAAGGAGGTGCAGCAAAGCCTGGTGGATTCTGGTATCGAAGCCAACACCACCGTCTGCATCAAGAAGGCTGGGATGTGCTTTCCCACAGTTGGCGTTTGTTGTGCTGGTGTGCTAAAGGAATACCCGAGAGCTTCCATTCAATTGCAGCGTCGCTTGGCTTCATACCTTGCATCGGCAAGGTAAGGCCATGCAAACAAAATGTGGGTCTTTAGCTGTATGAGCTTTGCTGGCGGAAGAGGCCAAACTGGCCCAAAAACGGGCGCAAAGGACTAAACACCGAGCTCTTCCCCACGGTGAACGGATTCTGTCAGATGGCGATGACAGCGATCTCCCCGGAAGAAGCTTCGGCCTTCCTGGGCGATCTCTCCAGGCGATACCACTGTCGGCCTCTCCCCAAAATACACTATAATACCCTATGTAAGATACTAGAATATATGCACAATAATTTATATGTAGCATCATTTAGGGTAGCATATTATCGTCTGTCTATGGAGTCGGGGCTGCAGCCGCCTCACTTGGAGCCTGGAGGCTGGAGGCCACCGACAAGATCGGGCTGCCTTTCGCATATGCGAAGCTCAGAGACCATAAGGGCCATGGGGGCCCTGGGGCTGTTTGCGATAGCGCGAAGCGAATTCTGGAGAGGCTTCGGTGGTGGTGGTGTCGGATCTTTCCGGCTTTGTCCTGGGGTGGTTCTGTGTTGTCACGCCTGCGTTGGCTTTGCCCGTGGACAGATCCGCTGCTTGTGCGACCGTCGTCCTGTGGAAGAATCCGCGGCCAAGGAACAGTATTTACAAGCGAGCCGAATTAGGCGCCGAATTGGTTTTGCCCTTGGTCTTCGAACTGAAAACACTTCTGGGGCGGAAGACTCACTGCGCCACAGCTGCAAACTCAATGCAGGCCGGCTTGAATCGTCCCTGCGAAGTTCGCATGATTGTGGCATGGTCTCCGGGTGACAGTCAGTCATCAAGGTGCCATCTTTGAGTTCATAGACGGCTTGCCGGACAATCATGTGCTAATCCCAAAGTGGGTTATGGAGGATCTCGCAATTGATGAGCAGCTTGCCGCAACATCAGTGATCCTTCTTCAAGTTCTGTTCACGTCTAATCAACTCTAAGGAGGGAGCCGTTAAGGGTGCGCGGCGTGGATCTTGATTTGGTCACTGCTGTGTTTCGATCGCACAGGGAGACGGCTTCTCTTGCTCCGGTGTTGGCCATGTTGTCGGTGCTCAAGCCCCGTACCACGGAAACCCCTCAGCAACTCGTGAACGAGGTGAAAGTTCAGCCACATAGCGTCGACTTCTATCAAGCTGTTCGGGACAGCGGCCGTGATGTTCGAGAACTGCTCACGGAATCCCTCTCACGCTTCAGTACACTCACGGAGGACTTCAACGTTCGTTCCACAGACTCCTTTCGCGAAGCCAGATTGTCAATCTGCTGTGAAACAACGGCTGCCAGGACACCGCAGTCCCCATTGAGGTGGGTGGCAGGCCTGCGGATTCAACAGGATACAGACTCCGGACGGATTTGGGCCAGTTGGGGGGTTGCATGCTGTCCCCGAGCTAGCACAGCTCAAGGGCGATGCAGCTTGTTTTGTGGCACGAGGCTGTACCAGGTGCAGGTGATCACCGTGGAGCCCCACGGTGCCGTTCGCATTATCGCCACTCGGTGCTGCCAGCATTGTAAGTGGGTCAACATCGCTCAGGTGTGTGAAAATTATCGGGCGTTGCTAAAAAGGGACTGACCAGTCAGACTACGGCAGCTGGTCCGATCTGGCCTTGCTCGACCAACAACCTGAACTCAGCCACCAGAGACCCCAATCAACTGGCAATAGGTCACCAAGACATAGCCAGGTAGGCCATCATTGCAGCTCCTCTTGGCATCATCTATTTCTTATTTACTGTTTGTTTTCTGGTGGGCCATGTGCTCGTGGCGAGCCAAGCATCTCATTTGTCGGGTTTACGTTGGCGCAGCCAAGTATCTCCTTATGTCCTTCTGAGCTAGACCAGCGAATTTGGTGAATTGTTGTGTGCCTCTTAAGGCTTGTGATGCTTTGTCCGTTGTTTGTCGGTTTTTGCAGTTGGTGGCCTGACACCTTCTTTTCGTGGTTCGTTTTGGTCCGTATGGCGGCCGAGACTAGTTTGGCTGCCGAAAGGCTGTTTGTTGTAGAATTGTAGGATCGCATGACATGTGCTAGATGTTGGAATTTCTGCAAAGGACATGGATGTACAACACCACTTCGAGTTCAAGGCGCCGGGCATCTTTCCTGAGACTCCTTCTGCCTTTACATGCAGTCAGGTGGAGTTCGAGCCCGCTCCTGATCTGGAGGATGAAGCAGCTACGAAGGCACGCGACTTGGGCATGGCAGCATATGGCGGCATAGCAGTCAAAATCATTTCGCCCATCGGAGCTTGCTTTGCTCGACCCAAGGAGTTTCAAGACCGCGCGCTGAAGTCAGTGAAGCTGCGTCGGGAACGCTCGGCTGCTGGACGACAGGAGACCCTGCATGGTTCGAGAGGTCGTTCCTGCCCACTGCGCCGCGTGAGCGGTCAGGAAATAGAAGAACGCCGCCGTGAAGCTCGACAGAAACGATACGAGGCTGGACGCAGGTGGCAGCTTTGTAGAAGTTCTTGAAACACTTCCGGCCTGCTGCCAATGTCTACGAGGGCTTGGTGGCAAGAGAGTCCGGGAACGTTATCGACAAGAGTGCCCGGCTTTGGGGCGGGGGGGGGGGGCGGTGGGCGACGCGCATTGAAGTCGAGATGCTGGCCCCCCGGGTCCCAAGGTGAGGGAACGGTGGAAGTTGGCCTCAGGATGCCCGATGGGTCACAGCTGAAAGGCGAAAAGAAGCGGTTGCAAGCGCAGTTGGTGTGTCGTTTTGGAAAGCAGATGCGCAGGCAAGTTCCCCGAGGGTGCATCCGTCGCCTGCTTGATGCTGGCTGCCTTGGAGAGCCCCTGGGCGAAAGCGGCGCTGCCTTGGGGCATCTACCTGCGCATGGCCTTCCCCAAGAAGGTGCTGAAACAAGGGCAAGAGCCGGCCCTGTCTGAGCTATGCTGTGCTCTTGCAGTCTCTGGCGACATCTGCTGAGGTGCTTGCAAGCCAAGATGTCATTGACAAAGGCTTTCACAGAAGCACCTTGAGTGTGCAGGACCTCAGTCTGCAGACAGCCACGCAGCAAATTTGCTTGCACATCCCGAAGGAGGAGCAGGCACCGGAGAAGGACGAGGAGCTCTTTGCCGTTCTGCGCGCCTGAAGCTAAGCAATAGTGCAGTCAGCGCCGCAATCTGTCGACAATGATGCCATCGTGAGAACACGCTGGGCTGAGGATGCGCCCTCCCCAAAGAAATCCGTCAGCGCCTCCGGCATGCCAGAGGCCGCCCGCTTCGTGGCGACGCGGATAAGGGGTCTTGGCAGATGCCGGTGCGGCGAAAAGGAGTTGGCTCCACCGCCCTTGCCGGAACGTGACGAAAGCGAACTCTTCTCGAGGCTGGTGTTGGCCGAGGGCCGGTCGTAACGACGTCGTCAACTCGTAAACTCTGCTTTTCTGGCCCTGGCCTGCCTCAGAACGCAGCGCGCCTTCGAGATGCAGCGCTTTCTGCGAGCAGGTTTCAACCTGGAGGAGGCCAAAAAACGCAACACTGTGTCAACTGCTGTTTAGAGCAGGAGGTTTCTTTAGATGTGCTTGATGAAGGACTGGACATTTCGGTTAAGGTCCCCTCCTTTAAGGGAGGCCTACAACAGGATCTGTGACTAGGGTATGACATCCTGAGCTTCTGAGCTGTCTGGTACACAGTCAAGTATCCTATAAAGGTTCTAAAGGTACCGTCTCAAGAGCACAATGAGACGAGCTGTTTAAGCAAGTGCGAGGCTGAGAAGAAGTTCCAGGCAGGGGAGATCTTGCCACCAACAGCAGCCTCGAGGCATCGGGGGTGCCGTGTCAGTCGCCGGTCGCCCCCTCGCAGACTTCTCTCAGGCGCCCAGAGCCGCGGCCTCCGGCCGCCCTGGCTGCGCCCGCACCTGCCTCCCCGTCACGCCCTCAAAGCAGCAGAGCAGCGACGAAAGCTGGTGTTTCATGAGAGCTCAAGCCTCCATCGGCCTTCGCGGGTTCGTGCAGGGCCCTTCCGAACGGACTTTGCCGGAATGCGTATCCACAGAATCGGCTCGGTGTTGCCTGAGTGTCTCGGTCTCGAGAAAGGACACTCCTCGCAGCGGTGTGGAGAAGTGGAGGGGTCAAAATCTCAAACTCCCGAATCCTGTTCGTCATTCTCGACCCCCGCATCGTGCCGGACGGCGCTGCGCAACGTCAGCGTGCGTCAGTCACTGTTTGCGCCTGCCGAGACTCTAGCCCCGGACCAAGGGCGGAGGAAGCAGAAGCCGAGGACGAGAAGGAGAAGCGGATTGAGGTGCGACACGTCGCGGGAAAGAGGCAGCGATGTGCTGCAGACGAATTCAGAGCCAGGCGGTTGTGGCCTTCACCGGGGCCGACCGCGAGGTGGCCAAGAGAGCGCTGGAGGAGAACCAGTGGATCGAAGAGCTGGCCGTCAACAAAGTGCTTGACTCGCTCGACCAAAGCTGAAGGCCTCTTTGCTCCGATTCTCTCGGAAGTCTCGAAGATCAGTCTGTGGGGAATTGGGTGACTGCTAATTACTTGCTCATCAGTGTGTGCTTGTTGCGAATCAGACCTCGAGCAGTGGGGCAGGCGAGCCAGAGAGCTGCGGGCCTGCTGATTCCAGTCAGGGGCAAACGAAATGAGAGCGTAGGCGTCAGATGGCGGCAGCCAGTTGCAGGCTGCCAGTGGCCAGCTCGATGTTGTACACTGTAATACGTTGTACAAAGAAGCTTACAGTACTCGCTTAATCGTGCTGGACAACGAATCGCGCCAGCCTGCAGACTTCCGAACAACTTTGCGGCCCGAATGATAGCACAGGCCACTAGGCCACTAACCAAGCATACAGCTGGCAGCTCTGGAATGGCTCAGGCTACTACAGCTAGAGTTAGAGCTTGAGGCAGGGCCTTCTACCCTTTCGCCATGCCGCAGCTGAACTTCAAGCGACTGCTGGTCGAGTGTAGCACTCGGTCGTTCAAAGCACGAGCAAGGCAAGCAAACGGGCTACGATTTTTCAATGTCGTCCTCCATGAGGTACAAGAAAGTCCAGTCCGCCATCTCTGCCGGTCAAGCTCAGGGCATTCTTCGCTGCGAGCCGGTGGGCGACAACATGCTGGACACTTGAAGAAACGATGATAGTCTCTCGGTTAGCGTCCGTGACCCTCGCATGACGGTCTCACAGTTGCCTCTTGCTGTAGGAGTGGGACGTGGACATGACCTTCCCTGAAGGCTCTCCGCTACAGACTAGCCTCGACGCCCTCGCCGCCTCTTGTCCAATGCCCATTGTAAGGGTGCAGATTGGTCCAGCATGAGGGTGGGTGCCTTAGCTCCTTTGGCTGAAGGAGAGCATGTTTGATGCGGAGATGAAGAAGCTGACGCTTAGCGTCCGCTTTCCTGCAGAATACCCGCTGAGCCCTCCAGAAGTTTGGCTGCGTCGGCCTAGAATGCGCCACTGCTCTGAGCATGCAGGAGCCAATGTGGGATTTCAGTCGCCATACTTCCGTGAGGCTCTGCCTCCCCGTTACTGAAGTTGCTTTTCTGGAGGAGCGGTGACATTTGGTGGCAGAGTTTGCAGACTCTTGTCTTTCACATTTGAGTCGCCTTTCGAACACACTTCGGCTAGGCGAGTGGGCCTGTTGATGGCGCCTAGGTTTGACATTGGCTTCTCCGGGTTGGAATCCTGTCACGGCCATGCTCAGTGTTCTGGAGGATGTGAGGCAACCGGGTCGCAGGGTGCTCAACCCAATGTCCCAGCACCCCGCCCGGAAACATCATAAACAGCTGTTGAATCAACTGCTAACGTAGCCAGCCATACTCTGTGTTTTAATTGCTGAGGGATCAAATCCTGCTTGTTGAGGGTTTTTGCACCCCTTCTGTTTTTCTCTTTTTTTCGGGTCTGCCGGGGGTGCCAAGATGTTGCTGAGCTTCTGCGTGCCGTTTTGTCCTGCCGATTCAAGACTTCGTTTGCTCCTGGGCGAATCGAGCAGTTGATATCTAGTTGACGTGCTCTTTGGCATTAATGCGTTTGACCAGAGGCGGCTGGGAAGCGAAGGCGGCACCGAACGGAAGAAGCAGGTTAGGGAACAGAAAACGACGGTTTTACTTCTGGACAAGCATGTCGGACACCGGGTCATGTCTTGGGCTGCCTGGGAGCACCACGCCCCTTACACCGGATTATCGAAACCCGCTGGTCACGAGTAATATGATGGAGCGGATGTAGGCGACCTTTTGCCCGTGATCTGTGTTGTGCTAAAAGACTCATCCTTCAAAAAAGTCGTTTGCCGTGTGAAGATGCGGACCTTGGTAGCCATCGCAGTGGAGCACGAATGTCCGGAACTACCCCGCCGGGGAAGTAGAATACCGTCCGCCGCAACGAATTTTTTTCACGGGATCCTACCAAATTGCCATACCTGACGAGTAGAACCAGGCATTACCGTTTCCGAGCTCGCTTTAGCTTCTGTCTTTGAGCCACCCGAACCCGCGGTTCCACGTCTAGGCACAAAATGCCCAAACGGCAAGGCCCTCCCAGGCGCTTCTTTCCTTTTTTTCTTTGCAATAGGACAGGCAAAATCAGGACCAAGTAAACAAGCCCCCTAAAAGGGCTTGAGGGTTTGGGGCCTTGGCAACAGGAGTTTGAACCTATGCCAGAGGCAGAAATAGAAATCGAGAGCCCAAAACGAGATCAGCACCAAAACAAATTCAAGTGCTGGCTTACTTGGTGCAGGCATCTCAGGTATTCAATCCGACCGTCAATGAAGTCCTTGCCTGGCTTGTTCAAGTGTGAGCGTCAAACCCTTAAACCCCGAGCGTCCACAAGGGATGCTCACTTCGAGCCATGCAGCACGATGGCTCCCCAGGGATTTCGTGGAAGCATCCCAGATCGGTGGCACCTGGACGCTCATCGCGTATGGCATCATGCTGGTAGTGTTCCTGTTCGAGCTGGCATCCTTCATGAGCCCGGGGTACACCACCATGATGACCCTGGACAAGGCAGGCAGCGATTTGCTGAAGATCAACTTCGACGTAGATGTGCATGACATCGAGTGTCGGAACCTCCAACTCGTCGTTTATGCTCAAAACGGCAAAGAAAAGCTTGGCGTGCTCGGAGAAGATTTCTGGCTTCGATCCATCGACGCTTCGGGGAAAACTTTTGGAGTTTCAATAAAGCCCCAAGAGTATCAATGGCAAGGGCAAGAAGAAGATGACCATGACAAAGTCATGCAGAAAGTGCGGCAGCAGGATGGCGCGGAGGAGATCGATTCTGATTGGGCTTCCTCGCACGATGGCTTTAAGCACAAGAGCTTCGAGCATGTCATTCAGGGCCATGATTTCACTTTCATCAACTTCTTTGCTGGATGGTGCAGCCATTGCCAGAAGTTCGCCCCAGAGTGGGATCAAATTGCCGAGAAGATTCACGGCAAAGGTGATGCTCCAGCCATGAAGTTCCCCGACAAGGACGGCATCGAGCGCCCCATTCGGCTGATCAAGCTGAACTGCGTGGACTTCAAGGAGACCTGTGTGGAAAAAGGCATCGATGCCTACCCTACATTGCGGCTCTATAAGGCCGACGGGTCCTTTGCAGTCTATGATGGTCGTCGTGGGGAGGCGGAGATCGTTCGCTGGCTGGAGAGGATGGCGAAGATGAGAAGCTATGGCTGGGGTAAGCACCATGAGACCTTCGAGCGTGGCTGCAACGCCCGTGGCCGGCTGCAGGTGCCGCGTGTGCCTGGGCACTTGGAGCTCATGGCCGGAGGTGGTGATCAGACGCTGAACCCTAGGATGACCAACGTCAGTCACACCATCAAGCACTTGTCCTTCTCGGATGCAGAGGATGACACGTACAGCCGCAAGACACCGCTTCTGGCAGCGCGCTTGCTTCAGCAGGGCTGGAAACACTTCCCCGGCGAGGTCACACGAAACTTGGCGCCATTGGATGGTCGCAAGTTCGTGACCAGCGGCTTTCATCAGGCTTACATCCATGACCTGAAGGTGGTGAGCACCGTCGCGGGTAAGGAGACGAGCTACCAGTTTCAGCACCAGGCTCGGATATCGAAGCTGCCCGAGGCCGCCATACCTCAGGCGCAGTTCCACTACGACATCGAGCCGTTTTCCATCCACGTGAAAACGGATGAGAAGAGATGGTACGATTTTGGCACTTCCCTGTGTGCGGTGCTGGGTGGTGCCTTCGTTGTCCTCAGACTTGCATCCCGGTTTTCCGTGCACCTCTCCGCCTCCCTGAAGCTTGGAGCGAAGGCTCAGCGGGGAGGTGCCATGAGCATCGGCCACTTCGAATGATCCTTCGATCGCGATCGCGACGTGGTGCTCAGAGCCGCGAGAGCTCAGGCTTAGAATGCTTAGAGCTTCCTGACAGACCCATGCGCCCGGAGGACGCCGAGGAAAAAGGGCCGGGAAAAGCCCCGAGCCTCATCTTCACTTGGTGTTGCTGGTCGCTTTATCGCTGACCTGTAGCTTCAGGAACTCGCGCTGCTTTCATTTTCTTGTAGCTCTTATTTTGTCCCCCACGGTTAGGCAATCTTTGCTGGACTCCGGCATTCAAGCCTACACCACGGTCGCCATCCGGAAGGACACAGACCAGCTCCGACTTCGTAAGGCGACACGAGAGATACGCGACAGCTCAGCAACCCCTTAATTTTCGTTCGGGTTGCGGGCGTGGACGGTGCATTAGTTTTCAGACGTGCCACAATTTGCCTCACCAAAAACACACATTAACAAGTCTTACGGTAATTCTGAAGGGTTGCGAGCCCGTTGACATTTCTTTCAAGAGCCATCTCATGCATGACTGATTGGTTATCATGTGCTCAAGCCCCTTGTCGAGCTTTTTGTCGTACGCTCAGGATTTTCGTGCCGGCAGCCACCTTGCCCGCCATTTCTTGCACATTTTTGCACATGCAAAGGTCTTTGCTTCCGAAACCTGAAGACTCGGTGGAATGTTTTGAGGCCAAGGGCCCACTTGCCAGAAGCTCCCAGCGCGCGACCCCACAAGACCAAGAGGCCGTGACAAAAAGGAAACTCGTCCCAACGCAGGGAAAGTTTGGAACAAAACCCTGTTCTGAATCGACCTTTAAGCCAGGCTGGAGGCCTGCTCGATGGCGGGGGCCTCTAGGTAAGTGGGGTGGCCCGCGGATTTGGGGGTTGAGGGTTTGAAAAGGTTTGCATCCGAGCAGAAAGAGCGATCAGTGCCTACGGCGCTGGCTGGATCCATGCCCTCACATATGTGCAATCAAGGAAGACATTTCTTCCGCATCACTGCCCTCGCATCCTCACACTCTCGCGCTTTGTGTGTCTCGTTCAATATTGCTGCCGCCGGCTGTTCTTGTCAAGACAACTACCTGCACAGCTGGTCAGAGTACAGTGTTTTTTCGGCAGCCACACTCAGCGCTTCCATCATGCAGGAGTACCCAGAGGCGGCAATAAAACTCGTGCGCAGCTGGACTCAATTGATGCCGCATACACATATGCGTTTATTCATTCAAAGGCTGCCGCCGCTGCCGCCGACCCCGGCAAGTTGCAGTGGAAGTGGTGGTGATCGTCGGCGTCGTTGTAGTAGGAGGAGGAGCAGTGGCAGTGGTATTGGTGGTGGGTGCTAGCAGGCGTGCGGTTTTGTCGGCATGCGCAGACTGTAGTAGAGGCAGGGTAGCAGCACCAGTCGTCTTCGTCTTCTGTTTCTTTTTCTTCTTCTCGCCTTCGTGGTCATCATTGTCAAAAGTGACGATGACCGCCGTGCCTTGGGCAGCCTCTAAGGACTGCAGTCCGAGCTTTTCCCAACCGTGAATGGATTCTGCAAAGACGGAATGACGGTGCTCTCTGCTACAGCAGCTGCACCATTTCTGGGGGATCTTTCCAGGCCTGCCGGCCCGCCTTCACTTGCTTCGAGCTGCGTTTTTCTTGCGCAGCTCGACGCTAGGCTAGAGACCACTGACAAGATCGGCCTTCCATTTTCGTATGCCAACGAGATCTATTCGCATGAAGACCTACGCCTTCCATTGACCTTCGAAGTTACGACTCGCGTTGGCAGAAAGACGCACTGCTGCGGCCTCGGAGACAATTTGGAATGTAAGAACGGGTGAAGGCAACTGATCACGGCTAAATATACATGGCACGGGGCAGAGCACAGGTGCAATCTTCGAATTCGTCAACGGCTTGCCTGACATGCACGCGCTTCTGCCAAAATGGCTGATGGATGACCTAGGGATAGATGAGCCAGCTGGAAGCAACTATTCAGGCAGCCACGGAACCACCCCAAGCGAGCGCGCTCCGCTGCTCAGGCGTGAGGCGGTCCGCGTTCGCGCTGTGCAGCTGGACCTGATCACTTCTGCAACTTGGCAGAGCCGAACAGCTGAACACGAGGTGACACAGTTCGTGGCTCGTGGGGAAAAATCGCAGGTGAAAGTCCAACCGCACAGCGTCGACTTTTACTTTGCGGTGCGAGACAGCGGCCGAGAGGTCCCGTCGTTGCTCACGGAGTCACTCTCAAGATTCAGTGCTCTTACAGAGGACCGACGCCGCTGCTAGGAGAGAGTGTCAGCTTTTGAGTCGAGGTTGCTTGCCACTGCTTTCAGGACACCGCCGTCCCGATCGATGTTGATGGCAAGCAGCTTGGCACGTCTCGGCACCAACTAGCCCGTCCAGGAGATGCTCTGGCATTCATTGCAGCTGTGATGTTGTACATGTTGCTGTTGCGCAGACAGAGCAGCGCAGAGAATGCCTTTGAAGGCGATTTTTAGCAATTAATTTCTTCTCCTCGGAATGCGAATGTGGTCCTTCTTGCTATATGATGATTTCCGCTTATATGTGCAACACCCGTCGACACCGGCATAAGGTTCTTCGATGTGCAGATTTTGACTGTCGAGCCGCGTGGTGCTGTCAGAATCATTGCTTCCCGGCAACAACGATGTGCCACTTTGAAATTGACGGGACGTTAGTTTCTGTTCACGTGCTGGCCGAAGCGACTGAACCCGGGTGCTGGACTGATCGAACGCTCCAAGGACACAGACGTCCAACACCACTTTGAGTTCAAGGCGCAAGCTCAGTGAAATCACATATTTCTATTCTGAGTGGGCAGTGCAGGGCGCTTTCTCGACAATGGGCTTTTTTGTTTTTTCCGTGAACGCAATGCTTCAGGTGGACTTTGTCCCAGCCCCGGATCTCGAGGACGACGCTGCAAAGGAGGACAATGCCGCCAATTCGTGGGGTCTACTAGTATTGCTTTTTTCGCGAGGAGTACCAGCGGCGTGTGGTCGAAGGCTTGAAACTCAAGCGCGAGCAGTCTGCCATCAAGAAGCAGGAGAACGATGTGTGACTGTGCTGGGAAGACTTTAAAGAGTGCCAGCACACCGACGAAATTCAGGAGCTGCAAGACAGGCGGCAAGCAGCGCGACAGCATCGTTTCGCCATGCTTCGGGCGACCGCAGCCAAAGCAGCAGGCGGAGAAGCAGGCAGCTGTGCTTTTCGTTCTTGCAAGTTGGAGGGATGCCATACACTGTGCAATACAGGGGGTAGGAGCATGGGGTATGATATGGACCAACATTCGATTTATGCCGCATTCATCCACGACAGTTTCGACTAGTGGTATGCACGTTGGCAATCGCAGCATCCGACTCCGGGCTTGTGGTCGCTTCGGGAGAAGTCACGTTCCCGGTTTGCCTTGAGTTCTACAATCTATAAGATTCTGATCTTTTCAGTGATGTTGATATAGTGATGTTGGAGTTGGAGCATTTCTGCATCCGTGCTTGGGTTCAGCGCTAAACCTGATTTACACAAGCCACGTCAGGCTTTGTGGCGCCCAGGTGTGGGACGCCATATTTCAGGTGAAAACGACTCCCTTCTGATGCTCATGATGCTGGCTTCCAGCTTGTGAAGCTCTGGGGGGAAGCTGTCGACAAGAGACTTCGCGATGCAGGTGTCGCAACATTGTATGCCAAGGATTGTGGTGCCTCTATGTACGATAGTGGATTGCACATGGCCGGCGCTGAGTGTGTTTACCGACTAACCGTACTAACCACCGTGGTCCCTGCAACAAAGAACTTGATGACACAACCTGAGTGCCGCTTTGAGCGCATCTTGCCGCAGGCTTGCCAGGATGAACGTAGAACGGATAACAAAGAAAACAACCTCATGTTGGATGCGGTGTCATTCCGCTTTCCTGTGGTAGGTGCCAGTGGAAGCATCGAAATTGCTCTTCGGCTACCTGATGGCTCCAATGTCAAAGGCTGTTTCGCTGGACAATGAAACAGCTCCCTTTCTGCTGTAGGCGTGCTAACTCATGTCAGGTGCCTACGCGGAAGGGGCTCCGATTTCGCATCTCTTGCTAGCTGCCCTGGACTCTTCTTGGGCGAAGTCCGCATTGCCTTGGGGCATCTACCTTCGTATGGCCTTTCCCAAGAAGGTGCATGTGGAGCTTGGAGATGTGTCGGTGTGCTTGCGGCTTCCTGGAGGTTCTGAAGGATGGGGACGTGATCACCAAGGAGCTCCACAGAAGTATGCTGAGCGTCCAGGAGTGCCAGACGTTTTCTGTGCAGTGCGGTCTCTGAAGAGTTGTGAAGTTGTGAAGAGCGCAGGAGGAGGAGGCACCCGAAGATGAGGAGCTGTTGGCCGTCTTGTCAGACCCACGATGAAATCATGGGCGAGTTCCGCTTCTTTGAGGCGGCCGGCCTCGGTGCAGCATGCCCTGCAGCTGCGCTGAGGAACGGACGCCTGCAGGGACGAGTGACGAACCGGAGGCCTCAGCCACTAGACATGGGCTGCCAATGACAGTGAAAAGCTCGGAGGCCTTGAGCCCACTGCCCATGCCGGAGCTGGATGAAGCAGCGCTGATGGCAAGGCACGGGCTAGCTTTGGTAATTGCGGGGTCTTCCCTCTGCCCACAGGACGCAGAGGGCCTTCGAGGTGCAGCGGCTTATGCGGGCTGGCTTCAGTCAGCAGGAGGCGGGTGACGCGAGCGTTGAATCCTGGCAGCCAATGGCAGTTGCCACGCTGCAGGCCGAGGAGAAGTTCTCAAAAGGTGAGGTTTTGCCGCCTTCTGATGCATCCAGGTACATCGCATTGGCATGTGCATTCGTGGTCCTAGAGGCAGTCGCTACAGCACCAAGAGTATCCCCGCCCAGTCCAAAGCTTAAGAGCTTGCAGGACGGAAAAAGGCCCTCAAAAAAAAACCTCACGTGCTGCGTGGCTTTGTGAAAGCTACTTTGCTTGTTTGCAGGCGTCCGGAGCCGCTTCCGCCGGCCGGGCCGGCTGCGGCACCCATACCACGCTTGGAGCGCACGCTTCTGGGCGGATTTGGTTCGGAAGTGTTCAAGAAGCGCTTATTTTCAGCTGGGCCTGGCCTGCAAGAAACTTTGCCACAGTGCTTCAGCATTGGGGTCTGAAGGTCTAGAGTCTAGGCTAGTCACCAGTCACTAGTCGAGACTTGTAACTGTGTAGACTAACTATAAGTCTAAACTTTAGGCCTCGTGTGATGTGCGGGTCGTCAGCGTCGGATCGCGGGGAAGTAGCTGGGGCCACCTTATCTGACTCCAGGCTGTCGGAGGAGGAGGAACGCCAGCGAAAAATCGAGGTGGTGCTTGAGTTGCCTGAGTTTCTGATGTTGCACTGCTGTGGAGTGCTCTGAGTGCTCTTTTTGCGAGGTCGTGGTAAGCTTCACAGGAGTGGATGCAGCTGTGGCGCAGGTAGCGCTGGAGGATGCCAGCTGGACAACTGATCGGGCGATAAACACATTGCTCGACAACCTTGCTGCATGAATCAGTGCGCAAGCGTGGGCTTTTCGGGGCCTTGCCGTGCTGGCAAATCATTCTTCGGCTTGTCTCACTGATCGTTTACCCCATCAGTTGAAGGCAGAAAAGCTTCATCGTGGGGCGACAGTAACTAAGTCTCTAAGTGCCTACAATGCCTGCATGTTGTCGAGCAGTGCCAGGCCTCTCGCCCATCTTATGCGAAGCTGAGCGACGGGCGGATATAAGCACATGCCCCATTCGCGACCGCGATCTGCTGAGCTGTTACTTGGTTCATTCTGTTGCACTTTTAGGTACCTGTGCGTCCTTGCTTCGAAGAACAAGGGCGCTGGCAGAATCGCCGGGTCTCTACGATGCTGTCCAAGGCGACCGCTGCAGGTTTCCTCGTGTTTCGGAGTCTTGTTTGGTGTCTTGCAGGTCTGTCTGCCAGGCTGCTGGCCATGTCCGGCTGCGCTTCTGCAGCGTTGCAGGTTCTGTGGCCGCCTCAAAGCTGGGCTGTGGTGCTTACAGGCCTGGCCTTTTCTTGCATCCGAGGGACCAGTGCAGTCCAGAAGATGCCTTGGCCGCAGCCTTACATCCGTTACATGTTTCGGACTTGTCCGCGGGATATGATAAATCACATCATCCGATACTGCCTGGTGTACATGTTGCACCCTGAGCTTCCGTGCTTTTCCAGCAGTGCCGTGAGCTTCCCTTCCAGTACGGTTCTCCTTGTAATCCGTGCCTTGTATGTGTCGTTTCCCTGAAAACATATGGAATGTGCCGTGTGTGAACTTGGCGGAGTCGAGCCTGACGTTTGCACTGCATTCGCGTCAAAGCGAAGTGTACGGTTTGCAGGCTTCGCTGTTGTGCCCCTGAACATGCACTCACACCAGCGTCGTGCTTGAGAGGCGCGCGGTGTTCTCGCGGCTTGTGGGGGTGAGCTTTCGCTTCTTCGCGGAGACCTGCATGCCGGCAGCACTCCTTTAGCAAGTGGGCTGGTGCCCAAGAAGTTGGCAAGAGGCGTGACTCCACGTGAGAACTTGCCGGGTGACAGGTCAAAACCTGCTTTGGCGATGCAGTACGTACTTCAGAAGACAGACGCGGGTCAGGCTGACAAGGCAAGGCTGAAAGTTGAAAGTGCTGCCACGAACACTTCGCCGCCCTTCGCGGGGCATCTCGTCCGATCTCTTGCTGACAGGTGCTCGCGGCCTTGGAATCGTTTGCTTTACAGGTCGTCGGAAGTGGGAGCTGCAGAAGGGGTGCAGTGGTGGTACGTCGTGCCGGCGCAGCATTTTCTGGATCGTGCTTGTCGCCCATAGGGCGTAGGATTTGCACGTGATCCATGCTCCGTCACGCAGTAAGGTGCGCTGCAGCTTAGGAAGCAATTAACAGCGCGGCAGCATCTTACGGCTTTCATGGTAATGCTGCTTGCATAAAGCTTGATCATGCCGATGTCCATTCGGATTCGTCTTGCGGTGGTAGTAGCTCCTTGGCTGTTATGAGGCGTCTGGCTTCGCAATCGGCAGCATCAGCCGCTTGCTGTGAAGGTGTCATGCTGGCTTCGGCATGTCACCAGCGGTTCGAGCACAACGATGATTCGCCTTCTCGGCATGACCTGGCCCTTGTGACAAAGCGCACCTTAAGCTGCCCGAGCATCTCAGGTAAGGAGGATGCGCTGCCCGGTCGGCAGGAGCCTTTGAAGGCGTGCCAGCAAAAAGGCCAGTCCGTCTCTTGAGCTTGTGATGGCCCCTTTAGAGCTCAGAGGTGAGTGCAGAGCATTATGTGCTCGGGACCCCTATGAAAGGGCCTTGGCCAGAAGGCAAACGGGAATGGTGTGCGAGCGAGAGAGAGAGCACGCAGAATCCTCGGGAGTTCAGGCATGTCAAAGTTTGTGTTTGCCAACGGCCCCTCGGCAAGCTGGACATCTTTCGCTCTGTTGTGAGCTGTTTTTTTGTGGCCATTCTCATCTTTGGAGGCTGCTTTTGGGGGAGCGAGAAGGGAATATGGCGCTTGCCTGCCGGAATCTTCTCGACGGCTGTGGGCTATGCTGCAGGCTGTCCATGATGCTAATTCCTCGAAGATACTTGATGGCATTGGCTTCCCACGCTGGCTCGGAAGGCTTTACCCCCAACCCGACCTACGAAGAGGTGGTGCAAGTTTGAGGTTTTGGAATGCAAGAGATGCGCATCCTTGTCCATCCTTTCCAGTGGCGTCGGAGGTTGTGACGGGCAGGACGGGCCACGCCGAGGCGACTCTGCCACAGCTCCGTGGGATGAAGTGAAAGTTGATTTTCTTTGCGATTTTCGGAGGCAGTTCAAGTCATCTTCGACCCGGCCCAAATTGATCTGGTGGACATTTTGAGATGGTTTTGGGAGGTGCGCTGAGGCTATCTACATTCGGTTGCAAAAGCCCTGCTTGGAAGCCGGCAGGCTCACGATCCCACGCAGTACATGAGACAAGGCTTGGCCGGCTTTTGTGGCATCCGAATTGTCCACTTTTGTGTCAGGCGCTGATCAAGGCACACAGTATCGGAGTGGCCTCAACCCCGGTGTTCAAGAGGACAGTATACGCCGACACACACGCTCTCTGAAGCAAGGCCTCTATTACTTCGATGAGGATCAAAGGGAGCTTTTCCTGGCAAGCAAGAAAGCGTACCAGGAGAACCCACATAAACCGAAGGCTTCTGTGTGCTTTGCCACAGTTTGCGAGGACGCGCTGCAGGCGGCTGGGAAACATGGCGCGCTCTGGCTACTCCATGCTACTTCTTCAGAGTCTTTGGAGTTCCCTCCACCAAGCGATAAGCTTGTTCGCCGAGGAAATTTCCACAGAGATTCGAGCTGCGTCAGACTTTCCAGATGGTGTGTTCTGGTACGCCGAGGACGGCCCTCACGGTAGTCACATTCATCTACACGCATAGCCGTATAGTGATGTAGTGTGCTTGAAGGACTGGCACCAGCAGTGGCTCGAATCCCGATAGTTTAGACTTGTGAGGCGACATCAAGGCAATTCAAGTTCCAAGCATGTGCTGCGAACGCTGCAAGGTATTTGGCCAAGCCAGGGTCGCGACCCTACTGCTCCGCCATGCCACAGGAGGTCTCTCTTCCTTCCTTTCCTCAGCGACAGCCTTAGCTAGCGATGGAGCTGGCTTCTTTAACAACGGCAGTCCTTTGGCAAGGTGGGCGACCCCATCTCTGACTGCCAAGTCTCGGGCCCAATCGTAGTGAGAGACTCACTTGACTTTTCCTTCTTTCATGCCACTAAGTGACTAAGGTTCTGGCCAAAGCTCCCAGAGGCATTCTGGCAGCACCTAGAGAACAGCCATTTCCCTGAAGTGCTGCGGTGCGGAGAGGCTTTCTGGAAACAGCATGGCCACATCCTCGGCACACGTGGCACAGTCGCATCATCCTGCCTTTTTCTGTGTGAAGCCATGCCAAGAAACGATCCGGCTTTCGACTACTTAACAGCCTGCGCCTGCTGAGGGTCGAAACCCTCGAAGCCCTGAAGCAGCCCCCAAAACCCTATAAATGTGTGTCGCCGAGTTGTGGGACTGGAAACTCCCTGCCGCAGGTCCCGCTCCTCACAGCGTAGTGGACTCGCCAGACTCTCCAATTGACTCTTGGATGCGGGCAAGACGCAGACATAGGTTGAAACAAGCGTGAGCTTGTTGGCCCCGACCTCCTTCTAAGCTAAGGAGTGGAGCCAGTTTTCGACAAGGAGTGCTGAGCATGCTGAGCTATGAAGGGTGCAGGCAAAAAGCACCATCCCAACATCAAGCATGCAAGGTGCGATATCTGACCTGCTGTTGTGTTGGCCTATCCTTCTGCTTGCTGGCACGATGGCTTCTTCGCCCAACTTGGGCAAGACACGTAACACACATACACACAGACGCTAGACAGCCCCGCAACAGCACACAAAAGTTAGTGAGCAATCGTGGATCCTAAACATCTTGCGCATAATATGGGAAGTTGAACACCTTGAGAAGGATTGCCGCAACTTCTTCTACTTCCATGCAGAGGGTAGGTTGCGGGCACTGCTGCCACCAAAGTGAAACAGTGTCGCTGCACTGGAATGAACTCTTGGTATCGCTTGAACATGACTTAATGCATTAAGTTCACTTACGAAATTGCGCTGCATGACTTGCAATGCAACATGTCCATCATGCAGCATCAGGCAAAGTCACAGCTGCTTGGCGATGCAGGGGTGTCAGGGTAAGAGACAGTCGAGCGTGTATTTTGGTTGTAGCATGAACAGCACTACCCTACCTCGGCCCGTTGGCAGCTCATTCCCTGTCTGTTTTTCTGGACTCTGTGAATTTGTGACAACACTACTGTATGGCCTTTTCAGTGCACCCAGCAGTTTCGCGGCTTACGCTGTGGTGTGGTGCGCCCACGTCTACTGGGGAGGCGGACTTTCTCGCTCCCGAACGTGGTCCGCCGCGGTGCCGTACGAATTCAATTTTGGGGTGCAAAGCCTGCTGGCGGCGCAAAAGTCCTACGGTATTGGAATTTTCCAGAATGAGCACTCGTCCTCGCAACACTGCCGCTTGAGTTTTTGGATGTGATTTGCCTTTTCGCCACACGGGTGTCGGCCTCCCGAAATTCCATGATCTTGCTCCTTCCCAGCAGCGTGATGCACATTTTGGACTCATGGGCCGCGAGCGTTAGGGGTTCTCCTGGTCCTTGGGTATGCAAGGCCTGGACTGCCGGGTGCTGTTGCACTGTTTGGGGTCTACGCAGTCTTCCTATGCTGTGTCTGTGCTGCGACTGCAGCAAGCCACAAAGCAAAAGAAGCAAGACTTCTTGATCACGAAAGCCCCAAAAGTCCGGTTCGCGGCGGTCTCTGATTGAGTGTAATCATATCTGCTGATAGCTGGCAGCCTCAGGCAAGTTTTCTTGCCGCCTATCTGCACTCAGCTTGCACAATTTTGTGGCGACTTACTGATCCGAAGTGACCCAGAGGATACTAGTTCGTGTTGGCAGCTTGCGGAGCTTCCGTTCAGGATGTCTTGAGCTGCGAGCCGCCTGCAGCAGAGGCCTTGCCGAAACTAGCCATGCAAAGGATGCGACACCATGCCATGTCTTGAAGCAGGTTGTCTTCGCCGCGGGCTTTGCAGGCTGCTGCGGAGCAGCGCAAGCGTGTCGACAGAGCTGGTACGTCTCTTTGCGGCCATTGCTCTCCAGGCTCTACCCGCCTTCTGGCTTAGAAGAGAGGGTTTCAAAGAATCAGCATCCAACTTCCTTAGCCTCTCCTCCGTTTCAAGGCATCGGCTATGTCTGCTTGGTGGGGAAATCGTTGAGAGCCCTTCGGCCTTTCGCGCCTCTGCCCGCGTCCTTGGCCGAGTTCACAGCCTCGATGCTAGCACCTTTGTCCGGAAAGTAGCTTTTCGGAAGAGAGAAAAAAAGGAAGGGGGGAATCGCGGAACAAGAGCATCCCTTCCGCAGAGGCTGCGAAGTGGCAGCCTCCAGGGGGCTGCTTGGCAGCAGTCATGCCTATCTAGAGTCTAGAGTCTAGGGCCAGGATATGGAAAATGCTCGGAAGCGCTTCAGGTCGGTGGCGTGGCTGCAGGAACTGCCGATGCCCAGTTGTAGATCTTTCATGGCGGTGCTGGCCTGTGGAGTCAAAGTGCAGCTTGGGCGCACTTTGGTGATTCACTTCGCTTTTCATGCTCTGCACCTGACTCCAACGGGGTGTGTTCCACATCAGTCACACTGGCTTCTTGCGAGGTATGTCTTGGGTGGTCAGCGTCCAAGCAAAGCTCCCTTCAAGCTTCGACACCTTGGCTTTTATCCGCTCGCCTCCTTCGATTGCTTCGATGCGGACGTGCAGGTACGGTGGCGGACGTGTGGTAGTGATTGTGATGATGGGGCTGATGATGGGTTGAAGATGACGGTTGCGTTGGCGAGGTAGAAGTCGTGACATGAGATATGAAGCTGTTGCTGCGGCTGCTGATCATGGCTTTGCTGATAAGTGTGGCGACGATTTTTGGTGATGACGATGATGGTAATTCAATGTGAGCGTTTGCTGGTGATTTAACGGAGATCTGGCGAAGCCGACGTTGAGGATGCTCGCAATGGTGACGGTGACGACAGCGACGACGACGACGAGCATAATGCTGACAATGCGCTTGATGATGCTTGTGCTGTTGCTGTTGGCGATGAGGGAAGGGCAGTGGGACGATGACGATACTGATAGTGTATTTTCAGATCGCCGCCCGTCGTGGTGTTGGTGGAGTCTCGCTCAGCTGAAGCCGCCTGTATCAGTAAAGTTCGTCGTCGTCTTGGTGATGGTAGCGTTATGCGGCCAGGGTCGTAGTTGCACTAGCTGTTATTGTCAGAGTTGGTGTCATCGTTTGTTGCCGTTGGGAATCGATTGGAAGTGGCAGCTGTGATTGACCAATAGCCAAAGCAGTCATCGTGGGGAGTAGCAGTAGCAGTAGCAGTAGCACAGTAGCACAGAAGCAACATGACGACATCTTGTGCAAACTCTACAGTCAAATCCCTCAACAAAAACACTGGCACAACAAAACACACATAAGTACATGAATCTATTACCGGAAGAGAACATGAATAGGAAAATGCAGGAAACTAGGGGATAAATGGAACATGAATGATGGATGGAAAACAACAGAAAATAGGAAACACATTCACGAATCATAAGCTAACCAACGAACACATGGGAAATAGATTTGGGAAGTAGGAAGAACTGAGAGAAACCTATGAGAAAAGAGGAAAATAGGAGAAACATATGAACATAGGCTAGACGTTGACTTTGGAAAGCAGACAGGAAATAAATCAACAGAGAACAACATAGGAACACAGGAGAAACGCTAGGACAACTGAGAGAACACATAGGCGCAACATAAGAGAAACCCGGGGGGTAGGGAAAACATAGGAGAACGAGGAGACCGCAAGGAGACAACTCACTCGTCGCTTAAATTACCCGCAGCCGCTGAGAGTGTATGCGCTTTCTTTGAATTGCCCGTCTCGCCCGTTTCGCCTAGAGAAAAAGCTCATGTTGGAGCATTTCTGCTTTATGTAAATTTGGATGATGGATTGATGTTTTGAAACGGCGCATCTGTTTTCGAGGGTTTTGCGTGCGCATTGGTACGGGGTTTGTTTTAGCTACGGGTACAAGATGTCAGGGCTTGCACATTCCAGCACTTTGTCGGGCTCTGCGTGGTTTCAGGGTTTCCATGTTTGGGGAGTTTTCTTTTGAGGGCATAGCTCTTTGGCTTCTTTGATTTCAGTGTGCAAGATATTTGGGCTTGCAGCGTCGTGGGATTGGGGTTTTCGTCCATTGCTTCAGAAAGGGTAGCACGGTGTCGGGCATACGAGAGTTTCGGCTGGAGCAGGTAGGGTGTTGGAGTTTCAAGGTTTCTATCATTCGGTGTTGAGGATTTGGGCTTGCGGAGTCTGAGCTCGGGTTCAGGCTTGCAAAGTGTGGGTTAGGGTTGACGATTTCGGCTTGCAGAGTGTGGAGAGGTTGAGGTCTTTGAGAGGGGATCACAAATCAAGCACCAACACTTTCATGAAAAACTTTCCTGAGATTGCCAGGGAACATCGGGGGCGGTAACGTTTCAACCAGAAGTGGTGGTGGGCAGGCCTTCGAAACTTAAACTTTGAATCTTACACATTTGGTATTGATTTCGTGGCATTTGGCTTTGCCAGGCCTGCAGGAACAAACGAGCTGTTTATCAAAATCGCGTGGAGAGACACAAATCGCGTGCAAAACAGAAGGCACAACTTATTGCGGTCGCCTTATTGCATACTTGCATACATACATGCAGACATACATGCATGCATACATACATACATACACACATCGGATAACTCCTCTTTCTGTCATTCCCGGCCAACCAAAGACAAGCCGCCCCCCCCAACCCCCCGCCGATGCGGAGGAAGACCAAAGAGAGGTAAAAAGTAAAGCCCACGAACACCTAAATTCGGATGTGGGGATGTGGAGATTTCTCGAGGATTAGCAGGAGCACCATTGAAAGCACATGAATGCAGCACAATAGCAGCATTAGATATGTCAGCCCAGGCACATGGCTGGAATAACTCTAGCATGATGTGTCTTTCTTCCGTGCTGCAAGACGTCACAGCATGCGATGGTCCTGACAAGCTTAAACATCCAAGCTGAACTCAGTATCCCACGTGTGCTCGCACGTGTATGCTTGTTGCACTCTTTTTTGAGTGGTGTTAATTCGGGCGGAGAACCGGTCGTGTTCCAGGCCTGGGAAAGCCTGCAACCAATGCCGACGGCCCGGCGTGGTTTGGCAGCCACCTTTGCGGATGGCTACATATACGTGTCAGCCTGAGATGTCTATTCAGAGTCGAGAGATGAAAGAAGGAAGGAGAGAGAGGGAGAGAGACGCATTGGTTCAAGGCAGCTGGCGGATCAAACTGCACCGATCGGCTAAACGTGCTGGAGCGCTACAGCTCGAAGCATGGTTGGGAGACGCGGCCTGGCGTAAGGTACTCGCAACTCCTGTGGTCGGGTTTCCTACAGAACATGACTCGGCGTGCTCGCATTCTTTCAACTGTAAGGATGCCGCCTCTGCCGACTGCCAGGGAAGGCTTGGCGTTGGTGAGCCTGGGCCAACGCCTCTTCGCCCCTTGACGGCCCAAGGAAGGGGAAGGCTCTCTCTCTCTCTCTCTCTCTCTCTCTCTCTCTCTCTCTTCTTCTTCCTCTTCTTCTTGTTCTGCTTCTTCTTCTTCTTTGTGGATTTCTCTTCCTTTTTTGAGAGCTCGCTTCCGAAAGAGCTGAGGCCATTGGAGGTTTGGGTCTGAGTGGCGCCCCTTTGAAGGACGTGGAGGTTTTCGAGCCGCCCAGTCGTTGGACCAAGCGCCTTGTCTTTCCTTGTCTTGGAGCGCGTGCGTCCTGACTGTGTCCATCTGTCTCCTCATTTGGCCGAAGGCTCAGCAGCATGCCACATGGTTTTGGCAACTGCTCGGCGGTCTCGTTTGGTGGAAAGATCTATGTCTTTGGTGGCTATTCAGGCTGGGAGGGGATGCGCCTTGTGGACTCGTAGCACGAACAAAGGTAGGCGATGTAACGATGTAACATACATGACGTCAACGCAGGCCGATTGGATTGTTGCTGCAGCCAGGCATTGGCAGTGAGGAGGCCTGGCGACAAACTGCTCTTCAGCAGCTGCTCAGATGCAGGAAATGATATGTGACGCCACACCTTTGAAGCCGCGCCGTACCCAGAGTCCTGACTCGGTTCTTGTTGCATGGCTCACGATTGGCTGTCCTGTCTTGTTGTGACATGTTGGGCTGAAGTTTGTTGGTGTTGGTTCTGATTCTGTTTGAGAGATCAGTGAATCAAGTTCAACAGCTTTCGTCCTGTGCTGGGTGATACGAGTGTTTTCCGCCAGGCTGCTGTTGTCAGATTATTTTTCGCTGGCAGCGTTAGCATGTCATAATGTCCCGGGTGGTGTGGGAGAGTCAGGAGTCTAGAGAGAACTCAGGCTCAAGAGATGTGCTATCAGGGTACTTTGAATGTGCGAATCTCACGGTTAGTGTTGCCCTGGGCTCGTTTTGGCCATTGCTTTCATGCGGAAAGCTAACCATGCTGCAGTGGCTTGCAAGAGAATGCTGCCATGAAGCCTTGTGCGAGGTTCGACCCGCAGGAACAGTGCTGGCATGCGCTTGGTGGTGCAGCCCTTCCACACCCGCGGTGGGGGAGTGCTGTCGCGCTGGATGCCGAGGGCCGTCTCTTCGTGTGCGGTGGCTACAAGGATGGACGGCCGAATGTCAGGGAAAATTTGGTTTCTTCGATCGCGGGAGCAAAGAGTGTTTTTTTCCAACACGTGGCGAAATTTGGGATTTTCAGATGCTCTGAGTTTTGGGGAGGAGCTTCGTGCTAGCCGTCACGTGGAAGTGCTGGACCTCCGTCGGCCCCACAAAGGCTGGCGAACTGGGCCGTGCCTTGCCCGGTTAACGGTCTGGGTCTAACCCTGTGCTCTCGGTCATGGCTACATCACCTGTGACCGGCCGAGGATGTTGCCGGGTGCTTGCGCTGGTTGCAGTGCAACCTCTGTCCGTCTACCCGGCTTCTTGCGGTACCTCAGAAGCGATTTGAAGGGCTGTCCCAAGCTGCAGATGACCTGCAGATGCGCGCGAGACACATCCTTCGCCCGTAACGCCATGGGGAGCACATAGCAGACCCTGCTCCGTGCCTTCTAGGCCGGCCCGGCCTGCAGTCACTGAGGTGATTGGCGAAATCGCGCACTGGTGCAAGTTCCGAAAACCTGGGAGACCTTGTAGCATTACAGTGAAGGAGCTTTTATGGCTGCTTGCAGCCAATCTCCAGTAGATTTAAAGCGTGGAGTGCTTAAGCATTCTGCAGTGTGTTGACTGCAGTGAATGGCCTTTGGGACCGGGATCGGCAGTTGCCGGGGTAAGTGATTGGCTTCAGATCCGGCAGCTTCACGTAGAGCTGCCCATTGTTCTTGCATTCAGGCACAGATCTCAAGCTTTGCTTAGCGACTTTAGCGCCCCGCCCTCCACAAGCCTCAAGACCCGACCAGATGCTTCAAACGGCCGAACCGGCCACGGCCACTTTGCCATGCAGAACAGACGAAGTCTGGTGGCGAACACCGCCTGCGGCAGAGTTCCTGTCTTCCCACTTCGCGGCGAGCGGTAGGACTGGTGGCTGGTGGCGTTTGAAAGTTCAGCGGCAAAAATGGTTTCCGCCAGTCACCTTGGAGAGTTTGAGTGAGGGCCAGCGAGGGCCAGCGCTGCAATTGGAGGTGCTGAAGCCGTCGAGGCAGTGGTTCAAAATCGCTGGCGGAGCCAAAGCCAGAGTGGTGCCGCAGCACAGCCATATCCAGGAATCCTAAAGCCCGTCCTAAACAACTGTCCAAGTTCCGGGTCCCTCCCCTCTGGTCCCTGAGGTGGAAGAAGCTTTGCAGCTGGCTCCGAAGACTGGAGCCCAAGCCCGAGGCTTCCAGGAGCAGGGACTGAAGGGACTCGGGCTCCCCGAAACTGGAGGCGTCTTTGGAGATCGGGACCTATGTGGGCGGCTGTCTCAGCTCGGGTGTCCGGTGTCCAGTCTCTTCGTTGTCTACGCCCTCTGACATGGCTCAATCGTTGCCGGCATGCTAGCGGTAAGTGGTGTGAAAACAAGCACATGTCACAGATGTCACAGTTGCTGCAATCCCCAAACAGTGCCGCGAAGCATCAGCAGCAGCACAAGAAGGGTTGCAATCTTGGCATGGCAAAAACGAGAGAAGCCGGTGGCCTGTACTCGAAGTCCAAGCCGGTAAGCAGAAAGAGCTTGTCGGTCAACCAAAAATAAAAATGCGAGCTGCAATCCATCCAGCGATGAGGAAGAGCCGTTTGACTCTCAAGGCACTGGGCTCTCAGTCACGTCGAGGTTTTACGCATCCCCAGCGTCGTCCACATGTCCAGGATGGCCGATCTCGGCGCCTGGGACTGCTGCTGCTCGCCCTTTCCGGGCCTTTAGCCGCGGTGACTGGGCAGAACGAAGCCGTGGTGAACCCGTAGAGTCCGTAGAGTATAGCCAGAGTACCCAGGACAAGCTCCCCTTGGTGTGGTGACGCTGTGACGCTCGCTTGAGGTTGGCATGGCAGGACCCCCCCAAGCGCAGCCGAAGCTCACCCTGGAGGGCCACGAGGCCAGAATCCGTGTCCGTCCTGCATCTCCTGACTGGGTCCTTGTTGGCTACAATTTTACATTATTGTTAAAGCCCAATAATTAAGGATTAACGAACCGCATTCCCAGGCCAGCTGGGGTCGGCGTCTCTGGCTTTGCCTGCTGGGCCCGAGTGTGGGTGTGGCCTTGCCGGAAGTTGCACAAGCTGATGACGTGACGCTCGGCGAAGATTGGTGTTTGGCACAGAGACGACAAGTGCACCCGGCGTAATGCTTCTTCCTGAGAGGAAGCGCTACAGCAAGGTGAACTCGGCACCGCAGCTGAAGCATAGAAGCTGGATACGTGCTTATCATCCGTGCCCAGAGTGTTTCGAGGAATTGTTTTCCATGGTGCACCGGTTCTTCGTTGTGAGAGTTTCAGTGAGGTGATTAACTCATACACGGAGAATGCCGGCGTGGCCGGTCAGAACAACAAGCAGGTTGCGGCCTACGCCGATCTCGGTGAGGCAGGGATCCGCCCTGAGGGCCCCCCAGCCCTCTTGCAGCCATCGTCGCTCAGGGGCTCAAAGCGGCCACCATCTACAAGCCGAAGTTCGAAGACGGAGATCCGGATGCTGCAAGGAAGGTAGAAAATGGTGACCTGGTGACTGTGGATATGCTTCTCAGCTGGTTTAGCTGCTTAGCTTCAGGCGTCACACCACCAACTGCAGATTACAAACATGTGTTTCGAGCCCTTGCTGAAGCTCAGGATTGGTTACTTGACGGGTTGGAACGGCAACATCTTCCTCCGAACTCAGGACCCGTCGGGCGTGGATGGTTAGGGATTCTCACTTGCCAGTCTTGGAGCTTGAAGCCTAGTGCCTTGCATGGCTCATGGAGCATGTCGGTTTTGACGCCGTCAGGACAAAAGCGGCTTTTCAGAGAAGCCGGTGACATTCAGAGTTGGATGCGGTGACGCGATTCCTGGGCTGGACCGCGGAGTGGTTGGCATGTTGAAGGGCACCTAGGCTGCCTGTCTCGGCTTGGGCCGAGGTCATCGCCATTTTTTTCTTTGCATGCCGCATTCCTGCGTTGTGCATGAGGTGAAAAGCGGCGGTTGGTGATTCCACCTGCGCTAGGGTCGGCTTCTCATTGCTTTGATCAACAGCATGCTGCAGATTCGGGCGCAGCCCAGGTACCCCCGTCCGTGCAGTGACGAGCAGCTCGGGAAGCCTGGTGCTATTCCAGACCCTCGCGAGCAACTGGGAAGCAGAACAGGACATGCCCATATTCCGGCACTGACGCTTTTGTGTCCTTGAGGTCTGCGTCAGGCTCTGGTGAGCCTTGGGAGCTGAGGAACCGCCTGCTGCAGTGCGCTTAGTGCTTATCATGTCCAGGTCAGGGAAGACCGCACCCAAGCCATGAACAGAAAGCCCTCTAAATATGCTTCTGGCGTGAAACTCGAGGAATGGTGTCCTCAACAACGCACGGGACGACACTCTCGTCATAGATGTCAAAATCAACAGGATCGCGAGCTGAAAAGGCTTGCCACAACTTGGAGCAAGACGCTCCCTTCGCAGGCTAGGACCCGTTCTGACAGGGAAGAGCCCACAACATGGCTTCTTCGACGTTCTCTTATGTCATCGGTCTGAGCGCAGGAGTCGGAAAACCGCTGATGTCTCACCTTTTGTGGAAAGTCGCTTCAAGTCGCTTCCAGCACTTGCTGTCACACTCGGCTCCAACTTTTCCTTAGCTGTGGGCCGCTTTTGCTTGTGGCTGCTTTCAAGGCTTTACCGCCATTCGCTTTGCCGCGAGTCGCTTTGCCGGCCTGGTTGCATTCCCAGGCTTACGTAGGATTCTTCTTGTGTTAATACTCAGCACGGACAGCATCGAGTATTCAAGCTTCATGGTGTGGACATGTGCCGCGGGCTCGACCAGCATGTAGAATCCGGATGTGACCCAAACTGTGGCCGTCTCTCTGCATGCCTGGACCCGCCCTCAACAGTTACCCAGGAAGTATCCTTGTGGTGCTACTGGTTCGGGCTTGGCCGGTGCAAAGGCCCGCCAACCAACTGGTCACACCATGCTGATCTCCTCCGAGATTTAGGGCATGGGCCACCATGGCATCGGTCTTATTTTACATCATGGACCTCTCCAACTGTGATCCGGACGCCAACCTTTTCCTGAGGCGAGCGAGCCCGGACATTCTGGATGATTTGGAGCAGGATCGTTCGTCGTGGGACTTGATGCTATTTTCCTCACAGTCATGCACTGTCGTAGCTTCCCTTGCAGGAGCAGCTTGCCTCGATGAGAGTCCATGAGACTCTTCTTCGGCGCGTGATGCACCTCCGTACGCCAGAGATTCGAAAGCTGCAAGATGCAGACTACATGTCCCTTGGACGGAGCAGAAGAGGTCGGCGGTCGGCCCAGTGTGCCAGTGCCCTCTTGGCCAGGAGAGAGCACGGCTACTCTGTGCTCGCTTCTCCGTTGAGCGAAGATTTGCCCTTCTCGGGCCAGGGCTCCTTACGAGGGCACGTTGCATGGGTGACCCGGCATCAGACGATCTCTCTACTTTGCTTGTGCGACAGCTCTCAGCTTGCTTGAAGTGGATGCATCGGCTACGCTTGGCGCAGGTGTACTCGGAGCCGCGGCAAGAGAAGCGCCTGTGGAGTCTGGACTGAATGGATTCCTGCTGGAGTCGCCCTGACCTGGGGGATCAGCACAGCAAAGGCCCGCCATGCAAAGTATCGGCATCAACTTGGAGGATTTCCATGTGGTTGAAGTCAAGCCGGACTCTTGTACCTTGTCCAATGGTCATCAGATTCTAAGCTCACACTCTGGAGCATTTCGCGTGTGTCTTAGATTCGCTCCAGGTTCTAGTTTCGAGGCAGAGCTGTTCCTCACTTCCGCTCCTGTCTTCCGCTGGGACACGGATGTGCACAGTCCCACAGAGGAGAGCACCGCAGTTGTCATGTCCAGCTGTTGAGCGAGCTGCAAGACAACTTGTCTTCCAGGCCATTCAACTCAGAGGATGTACCTATTGGCCCTGGGCCGGGCGTCTTGAGTCTGAGGGTACGGAAAAAGGGAGCTCGTGCAATCATGTAATGACCACGGGTATCCTGAACTGTTGCTTCCTCATGACCCTTCTGTATATTGCTTGGCAACCTGCTGGGCTCACATGCCAGAAAGGCGGTGCATGATGCGTAGACCGTAGACCACGGCGTGTAAATAGCAGCCGCCCTGCCTGAAGCTATAGCAGCTATGGACTCGGATGACCAGAAGGCGCCACACGTGGTGGTAGTGAAGAACACATTCATTGACCTCGATGATGCTCCCAGAATGCCAACACTCGCCCGCGTGGCCACCACACCAGCAAGATACGTCGAGTCCTCGAAAGGCATCGAGGATGAGGATGATACTGACGAGGAGGGGGCGGAGGAGGATACCGGTGGCCAGGTTGAGGAGGGCACAGATGCACCACCACCGATGCCCGAGCTCTACCGCGTAGCCACCTACGACGAGTATGAGCCAGAGACAAATTGGGCATGGACAGTCTCCTCTCCAATTCCTGACAAGCCAGCGGGATACAGCGGTGGTCCAGCGCCAATTCCCAGCCCAATGCCAATCCCAGCACAGCCAGTGCCTGGCTCTGCTACCATTGTCGTCGTGCCTGCACCTGCAACGATGCCCATGGGGGGGTCTCCTACTCCTGTGCCAATCCCACAAGGGATGGCGCCTCCTCAGCGATTTGACCGATGGCCTCAGGGAATTCCGACACCCACAAGCTTGCCAGAAGAACCCCGAGAGGCTTCAACCAGCCCCAGACCAGCAGATCCGCCCGCCCCAGCAGCTCCACGTGCACCAGTGCTGCAGCGGGCCTTCAGTGTGAACAGCCGCATCTTCCGAATCCACTGGACAGTGGATGCCAGGGTCTTGAAGTCGTCTGACAGAGAGAAGGTCTCTCCACCCTTCGAGGTGTCGATGGATGGTCAAGAAATTCAGTTCAAACTTTGCCTGCGCCCTTCCTTGACCTCAGAGAGCCGCGGAGGGGCCTCCTTCCGAAAGGCAAAGGGCAAGGGCTCAGTGGACATGCGCTGCCTGAGCGAAATCAGTCGCACTTGTGTAATGACTTTCCGAGTCGCAATCGGCAAGGGCTCCGAGTCACACAAAGTGTCGCGAACCATGAAGCATGACTTCTCGCAGAAGCCGATCTGCCAGTTAGAGGGCGATGACGACTGGGACTTCAAGACCGTGACCGACGAGGAGAGCCAGACTTTCGTCGTGGTCTTAGAGGTTTGTGGAGGCTGAGACTAGAGTATACTTCACTGTTTCAAGTCAACCTTGGCTGTCGGCTGGACCAGTCCACCGTGAAGATGGGTCGCTGTAGGAGAGCTCTGTGTTGGCATCCATCTTCTAGAGTTCTCCTGGTTTCACCAGATGGGTTCAAGCCTCCGAGCGCAAGCCACCAGCAGCGTGCAGCAGCAAGAAACGATGCACTTCGAAGTTCGAGGGGATGCAAGCGCACGGTCTGCGCGAGTCGCGGGAGACTCGTTTGCCAGGCAGGGAGGGGAGAGCCGGAGCCTTTCCGTGACACATCATTGCCGTACGAGGTTTGGCATTGGGCTTTGGGCTCCCTGTGTTCAGGTCATCACAATCGAAGTCGAGCCAGAGCATGCCGTGGTTGCCCAACGCAGCTCGCAGCAGATTCTCCCCAGCGCTTGGTCTGAGTGTCCCGGGTTGCCAAGGATTGGCCTTCCACGCAGGTGTGAGTCACAAGGCCAGACACCTTAGAACTCGACGAGTTTCGGATTTCGTCTCTTTCGCCACGTCCTGCCCGCCGACCTTCTCGTCTCAAGACAAGCCTCACTTTTCGCAACCCCTGCAAGCTTGCTCTTAGACAACGTAGCTACTGGAAGTGCAAAGGAATCGGAGCGTGGGCTGTCCGGCGGAGGGTCTGATCTGTGGTTCAACCCGAGAGTTACTTACAGCACGTCACATCCGCGATCAATGCGCGGCTTCATCCAATTCTTCGTTGGGACAACGAGAAACCTACGACGCACGACGCAGATCCCTCTTCATGTCCATGCCTGCCTCGCAGAACGAATCGGAAGCAGGATGTCTGGTCGCCCGGGGATGTCGACATGTCAGAGACTTCGAAAGGCTGGCTAGCACAAAGCACGCGCATTTCTGCCTTGCCTGGCAAGCCACTCGGCTTGCTTCAATCACGGTGCTTGGTGTTGTGTATTTTCCGAGGACAGAGGTTGTAGAAAGGGTGGAGATTTTCGAGCCTAGTTGGTCGACGGTCGCGGAATCGGTCGCGCCGCTGCTTGACATGACTGTGCTTAGGACACGCGTAACTTAACATAACTAGACGTTAGCACCAACAATCGACGTCACGCCCCACAGTTCCGGCCTTGCACGTGATCCCTGCTTGCAGGTTGATGTTTGGACTGGGCAAAGCTCCGATGTTCTCCGCAGCCTCGAAGACCGCTACCCTGGTGAGTGCCTCAGGCAAGAATGAAAGGACACGTCGCGATAAGGTTATAGATAGCTGCTTTCGCCCGGGACCCACGACTTTACTACCAGTCGCAACCGTGATGTGTGTGCATGATGCGTCTATACATATTTTTTATACATAGGTGTATGTATTATACACATACATGTGACATCAAGCCACCAGCAATACTTAGGTGAGACGCCGCAATTTGCTTTGGTCTTCATGGACCAGTGTGGTGAATGCCCACGTGTCATTCTTGTTGCTTGCATGCAGTTGCACAGTCGACAGACATGGTGCTGGAGGCTCGCGCTTCTGGCAAGATCTCGAGATCTTACTAGAGAAGGCTGGCTGCCAATGTTTTCCGATAAGCATGTATCTTGAGACGTGCTACACGCAGGACTTGCTGCTTCCGGGGGCAGTCATCCTGGCTGCTTGCCAAGACATTGAGAAGCATGAGTTTTGGGGTGTGCTGACGAACGGCAGCACATGGCATGACTACGTAAGTAAGCACCCAGGCCGACAATGTCTTGAAGCCTGGAGTGCCTGACTCAAGCACTCAATCTGATCCGAGACATTCCAAGACTGCCTTCTGTGGCTTCTCGCTGTGATAGGCACCGCTGTTCCTGTGGCACCTCTTCCATGGACGAGGAAGCAGCAAGCTTAGACGAGATGTGCTTGCAGGGCAGCGAAGTGTGCAGCGGAAGGTCGGATCTTCAGCACCGAGCTGGTGAGCCTGGAAGAGCTGCAGCCTCGAATACGCAAGAGCCAAAAAAAAACCCTTCCACTCCTGCTCTCGAACCGTCAACGCCAGGTTCGCCATGGAGGGAGTAGAGGTGGGAAGCTGCATCAGATCAGCCGCCCTCTTGCTGCTTCGCTCCACGCAGGACTGTATGGCTCTTGCAGTGTACAAGCCTGCGCCCGCTGGCATGCTTCTCAATCGGACACGCGAGACATGCTGCCATGTGATCGGACTCCTTTGCCTAGCCGCCACAGAGACTCGCTTTGCTTCTGCATGACATGCCGCTTTTGACAAGTTCCTCCGTTTGTTGTGTTCGGCGAGTTCCAAGTGTGAGCGTGGAAATCGCATCAGATTATGCCTTGACAACCCGTCTATCCCTGACGAACCTGCAAGCAATCTTGTCTCTCGTGTCCGGTGAAGCCTCAGGCGCCTCCATGAACTTCCATGAGACAATATTGCCACATTGTGCTGAAAGGTCATGCTGGAACCACTCGCGAAATCCCAGAGATGGTGCTGGACCTTGAATCGCAGGCGCACGGCAGCATGCGTGTGCGACTGTCTGTGTGCCTGCGTCGGTAACTATCTGTCTAACGATGTAGTTGTGTGTTTATCTGCCCTTCGTTTGTCTATCTATCTATCCATTACCAAGCCCTTGCCGTCTATCTCTGTCTATCCGTCCATCCATCTACCCATTCCTCAATCCATCCGTCCATCCATCCGTCCGTCATCGTCCGTCCTTCCATCCATTCATCCGTCCATCAACCCAGCTACCTCTGTATGTGTCAATGCCCGCTTCCTCATACTCGTATATGTAGGTCCTAATGCAGGTTTCTATGTGTAGTTGTTATGAGTTGCCACGTTATACAAAAATTCACAGGCAGACAGACAGACAGACACAGACGGACAGAGACAGACAGACAGACAGACAGACCGACCGACCGACCGACCGACCGACAGACAGACAGACAGACAGACAGACAGACAGATAGAGACAGACAGACAGACACAGATAGACACAGATAGACACAGATGGACAGATAGGACACAGACAGAGAGACAGAGAGACAGAGAGACAGACAGAAAGACAGTGAGTAGCCATGTTGGCTCAAGTCGACCCTCTGTGGGGGGGCACTCGAGGGCGGCCCTTCGGGTCTGCTGTCTGTTCGCAGCAGATCCGCTGGGTGGACATCCCTCTGAGTGGGGGGAGGCTTGAGTCTTCCGCCGAAGCCATCTTGGCTAAGTGGCCCCGCAAACCCAGCCTTGCTCGGAACCTGACCGCGGCCCCTCCTCCGAGAGGGTGGCCCGCCAGTAGGGGGAAGAGGCATACTTTGTCCTTGCGGAATTGGGGGGGAACATCGCGAACTGCGTGCACCTTGACCTCGACTATGGCGAGCAGGTCGGAAACCCCTAACCAGCAAGGGGGAGGCAAAAAACGTCGGCAGCCCTACGGCCAGGGCCTCCCAAAACAGCACAACGTGGGCCGACCAATGCCGACGCGTAGAACGACTCCGAGGCCTGGGGGTGACGTGCAAGGCATTCCTGGACGGTCCGTTCTGCCACAAGCCCCATGACATGGGGGATGGGTGCTATAAGCACAAAGTTGCGACGGGGCAACTCACTAGCGTGGGGAAGAACTTGCTCCGCATGGGAAAAGAGCGGGGGAGTGCAGGCCGTCATCTGAACATGTCAGATTCGAAACTGAAAAAGGCGCGGTACACTCCTTGACGAGCCAAGTACACTGGACAAGTGGATTGGAATATGCATCCGACAAGACAGCAGGACCTGAGTTCGTCAACGCCAACACAGGAAGGCCTCTCAATGAGGGGGACAGCGATGAGTACAAGCGATATATACAGAGAAAGACGAGACACAGGTCGCCGTGCCGATCGGCCCCTGTCCTTGGTGGGGAAAGGAAACCCACGCGTGGAAACCGAGCTGCGCTTCTTCGTGGCGAAGCACCCGTGGAAAGTGGCCGGACTCCTTAGCACGGCCATAAAAGCTTTTCCTGAAGACCGAGGGGAACAGCGCAAAGGAAGCTCCCGCTGGGGGGACAAAACGAAAGGGAAGAGAAGAAGGGGTCGAAGCAAATCGTGAGAACGGCTAATCCGTGCACTTTTCCTTGTATGCACTCGGCGTGAACTCTTTAAAGGCGGGGGAAATCCCTGCCTTCTCAGGCAAACTTCGTATTTCATTGGCCCAACCTTGGCCACCAATCCCTGGCTCTTTTCAACACGCCGCCGAAACTAGTCGTTCAGATAACACACAAGATGTTGAAGTCGGGGGGGCTCAAGGCCGTAATTCATTTCCGTTCCTTTCAGTGGCAGCCAATAGCACTCGCTGAAAACAGCGGGGGAAGCACGTTTTTCCTTGCGGCTCCCCACTTTCAAGCTCACCCTCAACTGACATGCAGGGCCCTCTTACCAGTAGTATGGCATATTCCCGCAGCACGCTTTGGGTCTATCTTGCATACTAGGAGCAACAAGGCATGCATACCAGCCAAAACACACCAACCTCCGGTCATGTGGCCCTCTTTGTCGTTGGTCAGAGCCTTAGTCTTTTTTGCAGCGTGGTGATGTATTGTAGAGGGGTGTGAAGGAGGGGCGATCCCGTGATCTTAACAACGTCCTTGTTTGCTTCGATGATCGTGCGCGGGGGAGGTGCCTGGACGCTGCTGCCTTTCTCTGCCCCTGTCCCAAAGCCCCACGACAGCCACCCAACAGCGAGAGCTCCGGGGACCGGTCTGAACGCAAATGGCCCAGCGATGATGGAGGCCAAGCAGACACAGAGCATGAGCACCATCCAGCACCACGACCACGCGGAACTGCTGCAACAAACCCTGCAGAGGGGACACCGCTCCACCACCACAACCACGACCACCCCAGCTCAGCAGCGAAAAAACAGAGGGGACGTCCACCACAGCGACGGCTTGCAAGGGGGCTAAACCAACCACAACAACACCAATAACCACGACCTCGCAGTGCTCGTGCAGACCCACCACCACAACCACTACGGCACCTCGCTAAGAGCAGAGCAACCAACCCACGCACATCCACACCACGTGCAGGGAGCATC